TCTTTAATACATGAATGAAAATTATAGTGTATGAAATTTAAGTAGGTCAAATTGTATAAATGTGATACATGACCAAAATTTAGATGACTAAAATTATTCGATTAGAACATTGAAAATCAAAATTACACAATTGTGATACTTGAAGGATTAAAAAAATATAATTAAGATAAAAATTAATTATGAGAAATATTTTTGGGCTGAATTGGGTCTATACAAGCTAACTCAGGCTTCTCAAATAGATAGATAGAATAAATTTTTATTCAAAATTCAATAAATGTATTAAAAATAATTTATTAATCTATTTATAATCTATTAAAAAATTATTAATAAAAAAACCGACTTGCTCAAGATCATTTAATAAAAATCATCTATTAACTTTTTTTTAATAAAAGGTTTACATTATTGTATAGATGGAATTAAATCCATGTGTAAAATTATTTATAAAAATTAAATATTTTTGTATGATTATTTCAAAATACTCTCCCTCATTTATCCGCAATTTTTTTTAAAATTAAATATTTTTATAACTTTTTTTAATTTATCTTTATATATTAAACACAAACATTTATTGTACGTATTTTAAAAAAAAAAATTAACGAGAAGATAGAAATTTTTTTAACTTATTTATTTTGATTTTTATTTATCATAATTATTTATAAGTTAAATATTAATATTTTTAAATAATTTATTGAAACGTAGTAAGTTATTAGTAAGTTATTTCAGAAGACCCAAAAGTCCAATATGGGTGATTTAGTAGCCTAGAACAGGTCGTTCCCAATCTGGAACGGGCCGTTCCAAATTACTAAATTGACCTGTAAATCGTAGTTGAGAACGGGCCGTTCTGGATGGAGAACGGGCCGTTCTGGATGGAGAACGGGTTGTTCTGGATGAGTCCCAGAATGGGTCGTTCTGGTTTCAGAATAGGCCATTCTGCATGTGATTTTTGCACATATATGAAGGGGTGCAGAACGAGTCGTTCTGGTTTTGGAACAGGCCGTTCTGGCCACTCCTGAACTTCTATAAATAGGGGTTGTGTGGTTGAGGAGAAAATGAGGTTTTTAAAGAGAAGTTTTAGAGAGAAGGACTTTGGGTAAACACGATTTGCATTGTGTAAATATAGTCACACAACAAAACAAACAGCTTTCAACTGTCAAACATCAATCAGTATTCAGCAACTTTAAATGCTAACCCTAAAGTTAAATCCCATAGTTGAAAAAATAAAATCATAATCAACAATACACAATAACCTCATCCCAAACAACTATCAAGCAATTGATTGAGAAACACTTAAAAAAAGGAAAACAAGGCACATTCGCTACCATCACAGCATAACATATTTTTCACTTTTCACTTTTCACTTTTCACTTTTTCAGTCCAGTTTTATTAATCCAGTCCAAACAAACCTAACCTAAAATATTATTCATCTTTCTTTCTAATTTAAATTTTCGAAACAAAAAAGATTTAATCCCGTCTCACAATACAAACAACGACTGCATAGTTTGATCGGAATAGAAACAAACAACCACCGAAAAGATTCCATAAATACGATAAAGAACACAAAAAGAACAATCCGCAAACTGTGGAGCGAAGCGTGGTTAGAGCGGCGACGATGACAACGGATTAAAAACGCAAAGAATAGAGAGAAGAGAATGCATGTACGCGATAACGGAAAAGGATCGATGCGGAGTGAGAATGGAAAAGTGGAAGCGTACCGAAGAGGGTTTGGGAGTGAGACGCGATTGTGAAGAGAGTAATGTGACGGGTCTTTCTCATTTGCAATACACAACACAGTCGTGCGTGACGCATCAACGAACCGTTCTTATAGAGGGAAGGAACCGTGCAAATCTAAGTGGGATAATATAAAAAATGAAAATAAAAAAGAAAATATAAGGGTCGCGCTTTTTTGGATTTTCCACACACACAAGTACAAATATAACAATTCATTTAAAACACTTTATTTCCTAAACTCTATTACATAGCTATACTTCACAACATTTTTCTTGAACTTCCTTGACTTTGTTTTTGTGTTCAATGTTGTTGTTGCACACTTGTTGTCTCCAAGTTGTTGTGATCATCAAAACTCTTTTAATCTTCAGCTCTCCTAAGCTCAACAGATCTAGTATAATAATTGATTAAATATTTTAATTACATAATGAAATGTGAAATTATCCATATTATAATTTTTAATACTATGAGATGTTGGAAAGATACCATAAATTGATGGTATTCAACATGGTGGATTTTCCATTGTATTAGAAATACAATGATGATTATTATTTGATCTTTGATCAAAATGAGACAAAATCCATCTGTGGTTATGTCACTACACTTGGATGTGGTGCAATTACTTTGAGATCAACCAATTAAATAATTGTTGAGTTAGAGTTTATTTCTCTTGATATGGTTGATTATGAGGCTGAGTGGTTGAAAAACCTCTTAGTAAATATTCCATTGGGAATATAACATTGAAAATAATGTGGTAAAGCAATTGCTTATATAAAATGATTGAATTTATCGATTATGTGAAGTTAATAATGGATTCGGCCGATCCTATCACTTAAATTCCAAAGGAAGATATTGTTATATTAAACATCGAGGGGAATGAGACTTTATTAAGCCACTTGTAAACAAACAAGTGATGGTAACCCAACCTTTGTGATTGGAGATCCCATGAATAAGGTTCATATGGGTAAAAACAAGTCACTTGTCAGTTCTGCTAACACTAAATTGATTTTAATCAATTTTAATAGTTTTTGTCTCTTCTTATGATGTGAGAAAGTATTAAAACTGCATTAATGTGAAGGATAAGTTTTATAGTTAAGCTTTATGAGGTTATGCGAAAGCTTGACAACTTATAAAACTTTTAATGATTTTCATATCCCTTATGGGTAATGTATGCTTAGAAAAATTTTTCACGTTTTAAATAATGCATGTATTGTTTTAAAAAATATATACCTAAATGCACACACATATACACATATTTACACATACATTGTAGTTATTATTATATGTAGTTTTCTTTGATATTGTAGTTACAATTATGACAATTTCAAAAGATTATGTGAAATTATTTTCTCTTCTAGATAGTTAAAAGCTAGCAAAGATATTTGTCATTAACATTGTTCTTCAAAGTTACTTGACAATGATAACAATCGTATTCTTTTGGGAAGAATACAAAAAAAAATCTCAGTATTTTATGACATTAATCCAAAATCTAAATTTATTTTTACATTTTTGCATGTTGTTTTATCTTTATGCGAGTAATGTTATGACTTATTACTATTATGATCTAATGTTTCCTATTTATGTGAATCAATGTCCATTTATTCCCTTCATGAATTCTATTTTTAGATTTTGATTATTTTGGATATCCCATTGATTTATTTTTCTTGTCTATCATGTTTTCAACAGGTGTTAGTGTTGTTCATTGTTGTCCATCTTCACATCCATCACGAACAGGAATCCTCTATCTGATATGAAAATTATACAATCACAAAAATTAACAATAACCTGAGACGTGTTAAAGCACTGTCCTTAAGGACTTATCCGCGTGATGCGCAAGTCCCCCAGGATATAACAGGTTCTTCCCAATTAATAATTGAGGAAACATAACTAACAAGTTTTCTTAACTGAGAATAACCCATAAGACTCATGATATAATCAAGAAAAGATGTGTGTGGAGATATATCCTCAAAATCTTCTGTATGTTATATTTATAATGAAAGGAAACTGTTTCTCAAAGCCACCTTTGACCAAGTCATAAGATAAAATATATTATCTCTTGAAGATCAAGTCAAAATATAAGATAAGACCTAGTCTAAAGACTATTAGAGTTACCATTTTGGGTAACGATTTTGTCTGTGCTTGATCGACACTAGAAAATATTATTTTTGGGATGACTGTACACATATGGTGTTCTATTTTATAACCAGAAACTTAGTTATTGACATTCTTATTTATACCTGTATGTATGAGTTATTCAGCTTAATATTTCTCTTAGTTCACTAGTAGTAATGCAATTTCACTACGTGTAGAGACCATGACGGGTTGTTACATTTATCACCTAAATAAAAACAATATTTTTTACAATACAAGTTATTTATCACAAATTTAAAATATAATTTAAATATTTAAAAATATTTATTTATACTAAATTTAAATATAATTTATATATTCAAATATAATATTTATTTATATGTATAATTTATTATAAATTTTAATTATATTGATATTTATTTTATGAATAAATATTTAAATATTTTTTTAATAATTTTTAATCTCTAAATATCATATTATTAAATGTTAAATCATTTAAATATAAATAAATATTAAAATTTGATAATCAATTTGGCAAAAGAATTAAAATTTTGTATTTTTAAAATTAAATAAGTTAAATGTCTCTATTTTAAAGTAGATGGACAAAAACAGCATATTAACAAAATAACCAAAACTCAATTTAATCAAAATATTAAATACACAATTCATTTTATTTGAAAATCAAATAAGTCATAAGTGAACCTCATTTGTATCCAACATTCATGGAACTCGTATTGTTATCTAACCACGTGAAGTTTGTAGGATTCTTTTACACCTAGGATTTGATTCTTTTAAAATGTGAGATGTATTTTATAGATAAAGCATTGAATTATAGTTTTTGGTTGAAAAATTAATTGTTGAGATATCACTTTGTTAGAAATCAACGAATTAGACACAAATAATTAATATATTGAACCTAAAATTGATTCGTTTGAATAAAAATAATATTTGACTAAATTTTATTTATTTTTAGATTGAGTTAAATTAATTTAAGATAAAATTTTTATTAAAAAACCCGTGCAGAATGAAAAAAAAATATAATGTGTGAGTTTTATTGCAATCTCAATTAACATGATTATTATTGTTTTTTTATTCTTTAAAGTGCTTCACTACCTGTTAGTGAAGTCGAATTCAATTTTATATGCCAAAAAACATAGAAATGACACTTGCACTAACAAAACTTGTGAAAATAACAAGGATGTATAAAATTATAATCATAGAAGATATTTGTAAATGTAAAAAATAATGAATGAATTCTTCACATCAGGAATGTTGCATATTACTTTGGGATACCATCTGATGCAGTAGTGAAAGTTTTATGATTTGAAGTGGTACGCCCATGAAAATTGAAACGCCAAAGCAAGATTCTGGAACAATCCTCTGGGGGAATTCCTTTCAACTTTGCTTCATCCTCTAGAACAACTTGCTTCACGAATTTGATGGAATTCTGACAAAATCAAATTAGAAATAATGAGTTTCATAGATATGTATTTCTAGTTTTTATACTATCAGACAATCATAATTAATTATTTTAAATGTATAACTTACATTATTAACAATATGTAAAAAAAATTCACCAAGCATTGTATATATGAATTATGAATGATACTAGAATGTTGTGATTTCTGTCGGTGTATGTATATCCCGGAGTAAGCAGAAGTTGAATGCAATCATTATCAGTGAGACAGTGACACTATGCTAGGGTAGACAACACTAGAATAATTAGAATTGTGATTAGTTGAAATGTTCAATCAAAATGTCATTATATTGCCTAATATGTCACTGTTTCTTTTGTCCACTTCTCATTAGCACTTTTTTAAGTAGTTGTAGGTTGGCCAAATGTTAAGTAAACGTAAGTAATGGCTCAAGATTCAGGCAGAGCAAGTATTATCATGTTTTGGACCATACAAGAATAATTTTTTTACACGTACGTTAGTGTTATTAATTTCTCATTGTAACATGAGTTTTGAAGCTATTTATTAACTATTATCTGTTAAGTTCATAATTGAATAGACAAACACAAGAAAAAATTATTATGGCATTAAAATTAAAAATGCCAGTTGAGCATGATTGAGTGGTTGAACAATTTAGATATTAACACCCCATTTTTTTTATAATAATCATAGTAATACTTTGGATATAGAATATGAATTATATAATATGTATGTACCTGAGAGGTGTCTTGAAGATAGGAAGTGCGACCCCATCTCTCAGGGTCCCAAAGGATGGAACTGTTGAATGCAAAACTTGAAATATGAATGGGAGGAATAATGGTATCAGTTTCATTGTTCATATTCCTTAAATGCCAACCTATGACTTGTGAAGAATCGCATACAGGTCCTTCTATTATCACTTTCTTCCTATTTGCTGCTAACAATGCAGTTGGCCATGTTCCAAATACCCTGTTCAATTGTCAAATCATTAAGGGGCACATTTCTCATGTCACTTCTAACTTTTAAACCACATTGCAGGCGTGAAATATAGTCCATGATTGTAAGGATTATAGTTACTATTCTCATTGGTATACCTCTAGTGTCTAGAGTTCAATTTTATTATTTTTTTTGAGCTTCCCCATTTCGCCCATTAGCAATATTTTCCCCTTCTCTTAACATGTTCCTAAAGATACACCAATTAATCAATCCTTATAAAAATAAAAATAAAAACACTTTTAGTTAAGAAAATAAAAGGAAAAAATATCATAAATTTTTCTATAAACTAAAATTAATATATTTATAAGTTAAAAAAAAATATTTTGTAAAAGTTAATAAGAGAGAAATTCTATAAATAAATTTAGATATTAGCTTATGAGAAACTTATTTTCTTTTTGAAAAATTTTAATCAAAATTCTTAGTACATCGGTTTAAAAAATTAAAAGTAGAAAGTTTTTATTAAAAAGTGAAATACACGTTTATTCGTGTAACTTTATTTTAGTTTTCACTGAAAAGTTTCTTCTTATTGATTCATTAAGACCTTTCATTTTTTTTCTTCATAATTTTTTTTTTTTTGGTTTTTAGAAAAAATCATCTAAGCAAACCCATAATCATCATAATAATAATAGAACTATAAGTCTAGGACTGGTGCATGAAATAGAAGGGGAAGAGTCATACTCAATATATCTTAGTTGTTGGAAGAATTCGAGATCATAAACATTGGAAAGCTCAGCAAAGTGAACAATCCCACTTAGCCTGTGATGCACAATGTGCTTGAGTGCAAGATTTCTCTGGTGATTCAGTTCAGCTTCCAAGTCAGTGAAGTTTTCCTTGGAAACCAAAAGCCTATACATAATGCCAGTCTTCCTAAGTGTCTCTGAAAGTTTTGAAGAATCTGTTTGCCCTTCCACAACAATCCACAGCAATGGTTGAGGAACCAGCTTTATGGTATTTGCCAACCTTGTCAAAACCACTGCTTGGAAGGGAGGTTTTGTGCTTGTTGGAGTTACAATGATAATAGGCCTTCTAGGCTTCAACTGGGGCAATAGTTTTGCATGCAATTTTGATGTTTCCTCTGGTGTTGGAGCTATCCAACTTCTATTGAAATTCGTTGTCATGTGTGACACTTCAATAGGTTGTGGTGCAAATTCTGACCTATTTGAAGCAGCAACATGGTTGTGAAATAAAGATTTACCTATAGGAGCAAAGCCTGTGAAGAACCCCATCACAAAACACAGAGAAAAATGCACCATGACTTTCTTCCATTTCATAACTTTCTTTCTTGATCTTTCTAGTGATACCATCTTCTGCAAACCCTCCAAAACTTACCAGCAATAACAACCGGAAGAGCAATCTTTAGCAGTGGATTAAAATTACTTGTTGACAAGAGAATTTAATTAATGTATAGATGCAGGAAATGAAGAAGGGTGTGCACTATAAAATCAAAGCTTTAAGGACACCACACATTTGTTATGTAAAACGTTTAAACTGTAAAAGGTTATGATTGGTACTGCCAAACTAAATCATTTGTGTAGGTATTTCATTGGTAAGGTATTGCTTCACTTGTATGTCACTTGAAGTATAAGAAAAAATAGAAAAATAAAAATAGCTTGTGTGATGGCAAGAGTTGTTGTTATCTACACCAAATAGTAGTTGGTGTGCGGCACCCATCTGTGTCAAGAATATGTTCTCTGCCATTTAACTAATATTAGTGATTGTGGTTAAGGGTCTAATTATTCTCTACGGTTGACCAGTAGTGTATCAGGGAGGATTTTTAATTTTTTTCAAAAATAATTTAACAATGAACCTCGGAATCTCGTCAAATAATTGTGATTTTGCTGAAAAAAATGTGATTGTGACAGTGGGTTGGGTTTGGACCGTTTAAATTGTCACACTTCTTAATCAAGAATAATCTCCAACATTAGGAGAGATTTGGATTTCTTAAAGGAGGGTGATAAGGTGAAAGTATGGGTGTATAGAGATTAATGTGCAAGCAACACACACATAAAGCGATATACACACGTTTTCACTAGTTATCATGCAACATTTACGTAAGCTTAATGTGCAAGCAACACGGTTGCAATGAAGCACGTAAAGAATTCCATTCCTACAAAGTTTTAACATCCAGATAGAAACGAAAGGTGAACCAATTTAATCTGGCTTGGTTTTGACTTTGTATCTTTTGAATATGGCAGGTAAATCCATGGACATCTTTGAAAATCCAACCGTTAAATGGACAATCTCCTTGATATGTATGGAACATGTGGTTCTTTGAAGGAAAATAACTTTTTGATATAAAGCCACGAAAATTGGGAAGGGAAGGGAAGGTACTCATAACTGAAGACTAAACAGAAACCTAACTTTTTTTGTGTTTCACTCAAATTATAAATTTATAATGGCTAAAAGCCTATATTTAACACCTTAAATTTAATCGATGCGAGCATACCCTGCTCCTGACAATGAAACGTGTTGGTAAACATATTTTGCACATCAAATCATTCATCGTATTACTAGGCCTGCCTGATCGACTGAAGAAATAAGTGTTTTTACAATCATGTGTTCACACTCATTCTGATAGTAGTGTAGTGTGCACAATTTGAAAATGTGTTTAGTTTGAGTCTTCAGGTGAAAATTTAACAAACATCCATGCGCAATTATCGTACCAGTCGAAATGCTTGGACTGCATTATACAGTCAAGGTTCAATTGAACCAAACTAAATAAATAGCTAGGATCCAAGTTCAGGGAGAAAACTGGTATCTTTCTTAGGAACTAAATAATAACCTTGAACTACAAACAAAAATTTACATTTCAGTCTATCGTGTATATACTCATACGAAAAGGCCCACAAAAAGGGGTACAACCACATGCCCTTGATAATTTTATCAAACATCTCAGTACAAGATACAGATTCTATAGGAATTCTATAAAGAATCATCCATCAGCAATGTCAGTAAATAACTTGTGCTCTATATTTGACAGCTGCTGAGGCAAGGCATGCATTACAAGGACAAAAAAGACTGGGTTACGCTATTCTGACCCCTACTGTTCATCAAGCCCGTAGTCTTCTCCAAAATACTTGTCAACTAGAGTATTTGCCATAGTTCTTAAATCTTCATTTTCATGAAACTGAAATCTTTCCATGGCTTCAATTCCATCTTCTTGTTCTACAAGCTTTGGGCCCTCACCATTTGGCATCCCCCGGAGGACCTACATACAAACACAAGAAATCGTAAACAACCAGGAGGTCTCGAACTTGGTAAGCTCTTTGCCATTAGATGGAATTTAATCATGATTACACAAACTATTATGCCTGATTCTGATCAAACCATGTAAATAGATCTGATCTAACTATAATAAATTAAGTAATTATTTACACAACCATTGAAATATATTACCAGCTCTATGAACTGAAGTCCTAGCCTTGCAGCTTCAATATCAGCAGATCTAACCAAATCAATAAAACCTGACAAGCATCCTCTTCCAACAAGTGAAACCAGGTGCTCTAGGATCAGACTTGGCTTGTCATCACCTTTAGTTGGGGCAACACAAAGGTTGCCCAACACATAAGCCACTTCCTTTCTTATATCAAATGGAGCGGCAGAAAGAAGGCGCAATAGCAAAGGCACTGCCTCGCTAGAATATATCAACTGCTTGTGCTCAACAGAACCTGCGGCTATATTAGACAGCACCCAGGCTGCTTCCTGCGTATATAACAAAGCTCATCGTGATTGATCCAAAGTTATATTCATAGAATCAAAAATTAAATTTTATACCTTCTTTAAGACCCTGTTTTCACAATTCAGACATTTTACCAAAACTTCTATGGCATTATCTGAAAATGTCATAATAAAATCAGATATAAGAATTTGATCCATACTATTTGATCAAAATGCACGTGTTTATTTTAGCAAATAAAGAAAATTTACTAGCCTGTAATTTCACGTCCAGGAATGAGAATTGCATAAATTGCATGGGAATCACCAGCAATGAGATTACCTAAACTTCGCAAAACCTATAGAGGGATTTCCCTTTCTTATTAGAAACAACAGATCAATGTGAATAACATAAGCATTGGGATTTGGGTGCACCGGTATATGCTTATCACAAGAAAAAGTTACAGATGTAGAGAGATAAACTTTGACAATAAATGAACCAAAAAAAATTAAAAGCTGTGGAGAGTGGAGATCATTACCGGAATCATTAATTGCAAACTGTCTGATGTTGCTAATTTATTTACAAGCAATTCAAGTGCATCACTCTTCACCAGCATGCTGGTGGCTATATTTGAAAGAGCTGATAGATAAACAACCACCCATGCTACTTCAGTTGCTAATTCATCATCCCTGAGGTGAAAAAATAATTAATATGACAATAATCAGGGCAGCCTTTCAGGGGTATATATTCAATGAGTAGAAGAGTAATTCTGTAAACTTCAAGGAAATAAGTTTTCCATATAGTCAGAATACTAAAAGAGGACTTGCATTACCATCACTTCTGATTTTAAGCTCATAAACCTATAGGAAAGTGAACTTATATTCTCATAAGAGTTATAGGCATACAAATTTCAGCTTCGAGGACTTCATCCATAAGTTTAAAAATTATAAAGAAAATTTGGTTAACATCAATAGGTATTAGGAAATAGTTTAATGGGGAAAGAAATGACAGAATAATTAGGAAGGTTTTCATCGTTGAGAAATAGGTTCAAGCCAAAGCTATCACTGATATTCAGTTCAAATTGTTGTCTATTACTCATGTTAAATGTATCACCCAAGTTGTACTCAGCCTCCTTGGGAAGTATCCTCGCAAGTTTACTTTTTTTTTTTTTTAAGATTAACAGGCTGTCAATTTGAAATAGTTTGGTTGCAACCAAAGCTAATTATCTCTTAAATTAAAGTAGGATGTAACATATTTTGTGATTTAAACAATTTAAATCTTAGCATGTCCACACACAAATTGTCACATACAAAAAGGAAGCCTAATTTCAGAAGCAGACAAGTCCAAAATGGAAACAGAAATTTTATCATAAAAATTGACAAATTGCTAATGGACAAAAAGATCTACATCTAAAAAGGGGAGAAAAAAAATGAAAGGAAAATTCAATTTCTAACATCCTTATAAATCATAACTGAAATGAGCACTCCAAGCTTCTATCTAACAAGTAGATTTGTCGGAACTAAAAAATGATTGATGTCTTTTAACCTTCTCAATGATAAAAGTTGTGCTTTATTCTCTCTCTCTCTCTCTCTCTCTCTCTCTCTATATATATATATATATATATATATAATAGTAATACACGAACAATATTATTGAAGTAGCAATTGAAACAACAAAAAGGTGAGAAGAGAAAGTATCTGTATGAGTAATCTACGATAGTAAAATCAGCATATTGATACTCTGAATTAAGATTAAAACCTCTGGACCAAGGTAATACTACAAGTAATTCTACAGTAATACTCACGCTTTCTTCAAGTGTCGAATGATTGCATCCAATATTCCATCAATACGAATCAGTTCTGTTGCAGCTTTAGGATCTGGGCCCTACATGCAAACATCCTACTGAAGTCATGAAGTTTTTTAGATTCAGTGTATTTTTTTTATTCAGAAGTCATGTTAAGTTTAATAGAAAGGAACTCATGTCACTGCAACAACATGTATAAACATAAAAAAATGTATATGGAGATCTTCCATAAACCATAATGCACAAGCAATCACAAAAGCTGATGACAACATAACACATCTCACAAAATATTGACCCCATCCTACAAGCAAATGGATAATGAATACAGTAACACAAATATAGTAGGAGAACAACAATTGTTAATGAATTGATACAAAAAAAAAAAAAAAAAAAAAAAAAAA